TTTTGACAGTTGGATATTTCTGCATATCTTGTGACTTTTGTTTAATAATTTTTCTGAATTCTGTTAAAATACAGTATTTAAATAAAAATCTTTTCTGCTATTTCATAAACATGTTGATTTTGTTAGGGGTACTGATTCCATTTATGGGTATTAAACAATTCTGTTTAATACTGTACTGATACTTGAAGGAATTGTACTGCAAACAGCTTTCATTTACTATATATGTACCATGTATTTCAATACTCTAATATTCAGTGTTAATACATAACCCTGTGTGAAATTTTTGAATACTGTAATTCATATGGTATATTGCACAGGATGTACAGTATTATTAGCATTTTTTATTAATTTATTTTTGTTTACTTTTATGTATTGAACTTATAGCTGGATTCGGTAATTTACTATTCTGTGTGTCAATTTTTTTATAACCCCAGCTCATTTTATGTGGCCAGAAACTATACCATGAAGGTGGCACATAAGTGGTGTTTTAGTGTAATTGAAGTAAGGGTGCTGCAAACATTTATATATATATGTAATTTGCTTGCTTATTATTTCTGAAAACATATCAGATTTATTTAAAATGTTTGAGAAGTAGTTGATCCTATTGCCATTCTTTAGTTAGTTTGAATGTATTAAAGAAACAAAATAATTTTTTATAGACTTATAAGAATGAATTTCATTGTATTTTATTTCATCATATTTGTGTGTTCTTATCTTTATTCATTCATGCTCAAACTATAAATGAAACAGATTTTCTTCAAGACTGTTGTTTAATTTTCACTTACGTTTGACAACTTACTAAATTTTAGAGAGAGAGAGATTTAATAAGGACAGTTATATATTTGTTCAATATTTTTCAAAAGTTGAAAAATATTTTAATTGTTTGTGCTGTTTTTTATTGTCTTTATTTTTTATTATAATGTTGTATGGCTATATTAGTTATGTATTTATTATAAAAATAATTATTGTTTTTGTGAAAATGTTGTTGATGTATATTTATTTTATAAATAATGTTATAAATTTTTTAAATTCCTTCCTCCTGTGGGCATTAATGGAACTTTTTCCTCGTGGTCATTATGGGCTTTATCATGTTCACAGTCTGCCAAAAGGAAGGGACATGTGTGGGACAGATTATCCTGAAAAATTGCTGTGGTTGCTGACCAGACTTGAATCTGAGTCCCCAAAGCAATAGGCTGTTGTCTTTTAAGGCTTCAGCCAAATAAATTTTAATAGATTTTCAATTTTATGAAAATGTTTTTGTTTTTATTCTGATAAAATTAAAACTATTATTATTGTCAAAAAGCTTAATTTTCTCACAGGAAACATTTTAATACTAAATCTGTGTTTTCATGTTAATAAATAATAACAATTATTATTATTAGTAAAACCACTCATGATTAAATTTTAATATCATCAAATTTAAAATCCATTTTATGTAAAATAGATTGAAATTTATAACTTAGATTAGTATTCGATAATTTATAAAAATAAATTTATAATAGATATGGAATTGAAAAAGTGATATGATATATAGCAGTTAATTTTTTTTATCTTCTTTTTATAGTTAAAACATAAAATAAAAGCTGAGTCACCAGAAATTAGAATTAACTTCACATTGCATTATCTAACATAAGTTTCCTCTTTTGTGTCTCACACTAAGAACTCTTAACACTCTTAGTTACTTTGTGGTGTAACAAATTACTATTTTTGTTTTAATAATTATTACAAATATACAATTTACAACATCAGATGCAATAACAGTAAAATCTTTGTGGTATAATATAATATGTTATCTGTAAATTCATTAATACTAAATAAACTGTTGATAATTATGTCATAGTAATATCAACAGTTTATTCAGTATTAATGAAGTCTACAAAAAAAACAGATAGTGTTATATTACATCACAAAGATTTTACTGTTATTATATCATGTGCTGTAAATTGTACAGTTTCAATAATTATTATAATTGTTTGTTTTTCAAAATATAATTTAGATATATATTATGGAAACAAAAAAATTATAATGCCATGTACAATACTTAATCAGTTTAATTGTATTTATAAAAAGTTTTTTATTTTATATTTAACTTTATTACTTAAATGAATTATAAATGAAAATAATAAACAGTTGAGTCCCTTTAACAGAGAATTGGATAAGGTAGTAATTTGCTTGAGTACTTTTCCATTATGTTCTGCTATATTTTATATTAGGATTCCTATTAATTAACAGAGCACCAGATAATAGAGCAGTCCATTTAAATGAGCACAGCATGAATGGAATTTTTTTTTTATTAGTAGTAGTGTGGATAAGAATGCACTTTTCTAAAAGATTTATAAAGGTCTATCTGGGATATATCTTACAGTACATCACTGATCATGGCACATGGTGACAGGGTTCTTTACAGTATTGTATATGTTATGTGGAGATTTGGATAGTTTTCTAATAAACAGCTAGTCAAGAGATTTATTACAGAATCATAATGAACAGGTTTTACTGGATACATTTTGCAATATATGAGAAGCAATTACACTTTAAAAAGATAGATATTATAAAATATATTTGAACAAGCAGCTTAGATCACATGTATGTCTACATCTTGAATGGACAAGGCAAGAAGTGATTAGTGATCAGAGTTTGAAGGTCACATGATCTTACTTTAAGCCAGTATTGTACTTTTACTTTCCTGGCTGTTATGTATACATAACAAGGGAAAGTATTGGAATCATGTCAAATTTGGCCCTCGAGTTCTTTTGCAAATCTCTGTTTTGAGAACTCCTGAATAAAAAAAAGTAAAAAAAAAGGGCAAAAAAATTGTGTTTGTGTTGGTATCTATTTTGCTTAATGTCTCAGGATGAGGTAAAGATTAAGAAACAAAATTTGGCATGATAGCTGGTATATGAGGATTATTGATGCTATTAAATTTTGGTGGTGAAAGGTCAAGAGTGTGGGGATATAGAGGGGTGTCATGTGTTATATCTTGAGAAAGGTCAGAATTAATGAAGATATTATTCGTTTTTAACATTTACACTTTTACATTAAGCAAAAGAATAAAAAAACTTTTTTTAAATGAAAATTCATAATAGCTGGAAAAGTTATGGAAGTCGTTGCTAGATTTTTTTGTGCTGTTTGTTCTGTTAGAGAACATTCAAAAACTTTTTGGAGCAAGAATGTTCACATCTTTTCAGCTATATCATCTACTGTATCTCTGGAAAGAAGTGAAAGTAATGTGGCTAGTAAATATAGTATGTTTACTGATCATTCAATTAGAATAATAATATTGATGGTATAAGAATGGAAATCAATAATTAATTTAAGTACAGTAAAATTATGTGATAGTGAATTTTAATGTTTCCAAATGTGTTAAGTTATATAGTGCTCCTGAGACATGGAAAAGTGAAGAGAATTGAATACAATTAATAACCTTCTGGGTGATCTTATTTCTTCTGATAATGAGAGTATGATGCAGCAATCCCATGGGTGCTGTCTTAAGTTGATTTAACTGTATTAAAAAGTAGATAGATGTAGAAATAGGAAATATATATTTATAAAACTAAATATATATTTCTCGTTGAAAAATAAAAATTAAACATTTTGTTTATGTAATTTAAATTAATGTGAACACAAATGCCTATAGTGTTACTTTGTTTCAAGATTTCTAACACTATAGAGTCAAAAGGCAGTTTATTCTGTCCAAATATAGTTATTTTAATTAGTATATTTGATTGTGATGTTGAAAAGCTTGGCCAAATTTTGTGTAATTTTAATATAGTGAGACAGTATTCAAAATATATATCATTAAATTCTGATAATATTTTGTAAAAGTAAGTTTATTTGAATTAACTGAATATTTTTATTTAAAATTTTGTAAATTCACAGAATTTGGCACATCATTGTTCCAAGTTCATATGTTGAAAGTACAAGTTTGTGTGTTTCTTTTAACATATGGATATGCAGTTTATGAAAGTGTAAAATTTTAATACATAATCTTGTTTTCTTTATTGTAGATGAAAAATATTTGATTTATTGAATTTTGAACACTTTTATGATAACTCAAATTATGTTTTAATTTTTTGTCAAGGGGAAAAAAGTTTTTAGCTAGCTTCACAGAAAAAAATTTGTATAAAATAATTTTAATTTTTAAAAATATTATTAGAAATGTTACATGTTATGGTTATCATCATGATTTAATAGAGTATATAACATTTATTTTGAAAATTCAATATATTGATAGTTTCATTCTTTAAATAGCAGTTAATAATTATATTCTAATTCTTTTGAAGACAAAGTCCTTTCCAAAAAAATAGGAACCACCATTTATTAACTTTGTGTTCCAGACATTATAAACATTTTTTAAAAAAGTGTAATGTCTGGAACACAAAGTTAATAAATGGTGGTTCCTATTTTTTTGGAAAGGACTTTGTCTTCAAAAGAATTAATCATAATTATCTCCATCGGACAAAAATTTACAAAAAAAAATTGTTCTAATTATCAAATTATAAACAATTTTAAAAACATCTTTTCACTAGCCTGCTATAAGCTAATAAGAATCTAATGTATAAAAATCTAACAAGATCTTTAGAATAGTTCTTACCAGGATTCAGTTTTAGTTATCACTTGCATGAAGTGTATGTTGTGTATGAAAAACTTTTTTCATTGGCAACTGATTTTTACTGATGTAATTTACATCAAATGACATATAACCAATTACATTGTAACATCTGAATTTTTAAGTGGAATTCCAAATAGTTTTTGCTGGTTTTGTTTTTTGAAATTTTGCTATTTAATACAACTGAAAAGGTTTGCAATTTCAAAGTACTGCTGGAAGGTTGTGTGTATTTGTGATGTCTTGTATTCCAGTTTTAGTTTTACTTTATTGATTTTAAAAATATCTTTTTTAATTTAAAAATTTTTTGCTTTTGATACAAACATGTAAATATTTTAAATCTACTTTTATATTTAATAATAAATATTACAAGTTACAAAATAATTCTTTGCAGATTTAATTGAAAATATTGAGAATTTCAATCCTGGACAACAAGCTAAATGGATAAGAGAACAGAAACAACTTCAACGTTCATTTTTAAATCGCATAAATCGTGTTCATCATTACCAAACCAGTCCAAAGCATCCTCGTCGAAAAGATCGAAGATTAAAACACTCAGGAATAAATAATCATAACTATTGATTGAAATTTTCTGTGATATAATGTATGTTGTATTAAAGAGAATTGCTGATGATGTATGTTACTATTTTCATTTTTTTTTTTTTTAATTTAGTCAAATGTCAATTCTTATACTTTTCATTGATTGTAGATTACTTGCATGTATGTATCATACACATTGCCATTGATAAACAAAATTGAAGTTTATTCATCCATAGAATAATGATTAGAATATTAATTAACATTTTATAATTTGCAGTAGACATATATATTTTTATATATCATTATTGAAAGATGGTGCTGTATTTATTTAACACAAATATATGAAATGGTATTTAAATCTTAACTAAATTATAGTTAAGTTTGGCATTAGTTTAAAATTATTTTTGCATTTAATAAGTGTTTTTGTATTTTCTTTCATTTCTTAATTTCAAAATGTGCATTCTTATTTTGTATTTGTCCTATTTGATACCATTTATATTTTCGTTTTATACCAGTTTTCACTTTTTGTGGACCATTGAAAATATCTATCATCATTATTCCTTTTCAATTCAATTTCAGTTTAGAATTCAATATTGATCTCATTTAATTTGTGATTTTTGTTTATGAAAATTTCCTTTGAAAATTGTTCATAAATTCATGTTACATTATATCCAAATCATAATGTTTAAATGTAAATCTAATAATGTATTTAAATGTGATAATTTGCCAAATATATAAATATATATATTTCATTTATATAAACAGAAAATTAATCAGTATTAAAATATTTTTCATAATTGTTCTCATCATATTAAATATAAGGAAAGTTATACTTGATAACATTAGGATGTATATTAGCTTAAACGTTTACATTTTACGAGATTTATTACAGAATCATAATGAACAGGTTTTACTGGACACATTTTGCAATATATGAGAAGCAATTACACTTTAAAAAGATAGATATTATAAAATATATTTGAACAAGCAGCTTAGATCACATGTATGTCTACATCTTGAATGGACNTATGTTTAGTCATATTAGCTAGCAACAAATATTTGTTATAGATTGCTAGTTCAGATTAGTATAATAGTTGATTTAATTAAAAAATTAACAGTTTTGTTATTATAAAGATACTAAAATTTTGAAATTTTTTTAAAGCCATTTATTTTTAATTATATTTTCCTTAATTACATCATGTGTTTAATAATTATAAAGCATGGCTGAATTTGAACTGATTTTTGTGTTAATGTAAAGCCTACTTATAAAGTCTGTAGCTTCACATATAGATTCATGTCCAATTAGAATGTTTCTACAGATTGTTAAGCTAAATGACAGGTGATAACTTTTTAAACTTTTATCTTAGTAATCTAATGAAAATCTTCTGATTTCATGTAATTTTTTTTTTTTTAATTTTGACATTTAGTGATTGTTTTGAAATTAAATTAAAACCCAAGTAAGTGTATTTTATAGTTTAGAAAATTAACAAATAATCATTAAGTATAACAATTGATTTTCATGTCAATTTGTTGGAATGTCAATCTTTATAACTACAAAATTTTATTTTTAATGTGAATAAAAAAGAAATTTGGCAATTTTTAGAAATTTATAAAGTTAATTCAGTATACATTTCAGTATTTTGGTAGAATAAGTGTAGATTTATATATTTATAGTAATATGCTATTGATTATACATTTAATTAATCAAAAACTTTGATATATTACTAAATCATATTACTATATATAAAAGTACTTTTTGATAGATAAGAATATTTCAAATGCATTTTCCATCTAGAAAAATCAATCATTATCCATTCTCATTTATTTATATTTTAAATGAAACATTAAAATGGTTATGTGTATTTTTAAATACAAGTACTTACAGATAATCAAAGATCCTTCTTAAATAACTAATTATCAAATAATAATTTAAATTTTTGAATATTTAAATTTATTTCTGATTTTATATTTTTGATTATTTGTGTTAATGATTTTCCACATATCAAAAATTAATGTTTTTAATTCCATATTTTTTATTCAACATATAACACTTTTTATTTATATTCAGTTTGTAGAATTTTTGCACTTTTTTACATATTTTTATTCTATGTATAATATTTAGCATTGCAAAGTTTTGAAATTTCAAATTGATGATAATTGGTATTGGATATATTAATTCTTCTGTATTTTTAATAAAAAGTATCTTTTATATAGATCTAAAAAATTATTATTTTGCTAATTTCAAATTAGAAATTTTATTCAGCATTTTTCTTTTTAATTATGTACTTTTAAATACATAATTTGATACAATACATAATTGGAAACTTAAATGCAGTAGTACTTAAAATAGATTTTTCATTGTTGAGGAATTCTTAATTTGTTAAAATTAAAAAAAAACTTTACTTATTATTATTTGTATTTATTTTTTTTAATATAAATTCAGTAATAGCAAATTAATATTAGAAGAATTATTATCTTCAAAAATTTTTATTTTAAATTGAAAGTTCTATTCAATCACAAAATAATATACTATATTATATGTTGTAGTTCACTTTATAAATAATTTGTACATTGTTAGTATTAAATATTTCCACTGAGCAACAATTGTTTACTTTCTAATTTTTTTTTCCCTCATAATTAGTATATTTTTAATGTATGTGTAATTTTACTTTTCACTAAAGTAGGTAAAATCTTAGATAAGTTTAAAAATAATAGAAGTTTCATTATACAAACTCCAATGTATAAAATTGAAAATTAAGAACTATTCAACTGTCTTGTCAGTTTAATTTTCATTAACATACATTATCATTTTATTTGGAATTTTATTATTTGAAAATCTGAAATAGTTTTAATTAGAAATTTCAATACAATTGAATCTAATATGGACTAAAACACAAAACTGTTATAATATTGTAGTATATATTTATTTGCTTTCAAAATTTATTGGTCAGTCTAAAATGGTGATCTTTCTGCACAAAAGTTTTTCATAGAAAATCAACTAGAAAGAATTTAAGCTTTACTAGTGTTAATTGTATTGAGATTAATAATCCAACAGAGACTTGTGTTTAATCTAATTTCTGTTAAATATTGTCTTACTAAAAGAAATTAAGTAATTTGATTAGGCTGATTTCATTAATAGGCTCTTAGTTCTCAATTTCTTCCTTTTGATGAGTTTTCTTTTTGGTTCTTCTTTGGTTTCATACAAACACCTGCTCCCTTTCTCTTTCTTTTTTGGTTTTATACTTTTCATGTTAGAAAAAATACATTGATCTTCCTAAGATGAAAAGTGTAAAATCAAAGAGACAGAGGAAGGGAACAGGTGTTTTGAAGAGGCTCTTAGTATTTATTTAAAATAGATCAGGATTATTTTGTTTAATTGGAAAAGAACAACTAACATTATTAATTATTATTTTTAATAGATTAATAATTATTATAGAATAATATAAAACAAGACCAAATAATTTTTGATTCTTTGCAATTTTATATATTCAAAATAATATGTTAAATACATCAGGGTTTCTTAATTATAAATTTTGAATGCAATAAAATCTTCAGAACTATAAAACATGAATGTAAAAACTCAGTTATTTTTGTTTCCCCCCGATACATATCAAAACATATTATCTCATATAATTTTGAAACTGAATATTCTGCTTATCAAGAGCAGAATATTCAGTTTCAAAGATGATGTCAAATAATAATTTTTTACAAATATCTGTAGAATATAGAAATAGTGATGATAAATAATTGATTAATTAATATTAAAGTAAGATATTTTTAAAGATCTTATTTGAGATTCTACATTTAATTAATACAAGCTATAATTTATAAATTAATGAACATTCTAAATGAAGGCCTCATCAGTTTAATATTATTGTTTACTCCATTATAAAATAGTTAAGAACCAGTGAATGTGTCTTCCTGTAAATACACAGTAATGAAGGCCTTGTACATAATGAATTCTTTAGGTATAGAGATTGCTAGTTTCAGATTTATTTTTGATTTTTTTTAATATTAAAAACAAATTATTTGGTTAAAATAATTTTTTTCAATTCATTTCTAGGAAAATTATAAACTGTTTATTTTTGAACAATTGGTATTTTTATTTTTAATGGATTTATTTTCTGTGCCATATAATATAATGTATTCATTATATTTGAGTTTATTCTGTAACTGTAAAATTTATATTAAAAGTATAGAAGTATGAAGGAAAAAATTTTTTAATAGATATTAATTCTAAATATCTGCATATTTTGTAAAATGATGTTTTTTCATACTTTCAACTTTCCATTATCTTAATTAAGAAGTTATTGAATAAATTTTTTAAAAGTAATTTTAAGGTTTGTTTTCCTAAAAACATATAATTGCTTTAAAAAATTGTTGAATAATAAAAAGATGCTAATTCAAAATTATTGTTAGACAATTATTAATAAAATATTTTATATTACTAATATTTTTTTTACAAATATCTAATTACAATTATTCATTTGTTGAGATGTATTTGTAATTACTGAATGTTGAATTATAACCAAAATAAAACCAAATATCATTTGACCATGTTGAAGCTTTAGACTTTCACAATATTACAATTGCAGTATTTTTATTATTAAAATTTGTATTAAGATGTTTCAGTGCAATAATAATCAAACAATTGCTTAAGATAATACTGTTTTTTTAATATTTATTAATTTAATTAAGATGATGTTAATCATTATTCCAAAAAAAACAGTTTGTTTCTTGATTTATAATACATATCTAAAAATATTTCTGTTGTAATGAAGCAGTTTTCATATAAAACTGTGTATTAGCATGTAGATCAAAATATATTTTCTTCTTAAAGGGCATTGTACTGTAATTAATAATCCTATTTTAATATTTGTTATATATTTTTAATTGGAAATTTTATTAAATCAATAGGAATTCTGAAAAGTATTGTTAAAACAAATTCAGTACTACTGTTTAAGATGACTGCTTATTAATAAAATAAAGTTGTTATAATTATGGAATGTTATGTGTGAAAAATGATGTTATGGTATTTTGAATACTTGTGCTTTTAGAATAAATGATTTGTATGACATTAGGGTACTGTATATTAATAGGATAAAATGTATTTTAATATAGTATGGTTTCTTAATTCTAGATCATTTTTAATGTGATAATGTTTTATTTTAGAAATTTGTACACAAGAAATTGTAGCAATCAATATATTTACAGATAATGTGATTTGAATTTATTAAATTTGAATACAGAAATATTAGCTTTATTAAAATTCTATAGATCAAAAATATAAAAGTGCCTATAATATAAATATCTGGAATATCAAAACCATACTATGTAATGTATACATGATGATTGATTATAAATGAAAAACTTCACTTGAGAAGCACATTTTGTATTTCTTTGAATAAAAACATTTTTTTAAAAAAATTGTTTTGTTTACTGTGTTATTAAAACTTTTGAATAATGGGAAATGTCAAATGAAAGTAAAATTTATTATATACAGATAAAAAAAAATCATATATTATACATAGTTCAAATCATAATAATACTATCAAGATGAAAATACTCTGCTTTCGATTCTAGTCGTAAAAAATACATAATAATTAGATTCACTGACAAAAGCTAGTAAGATGAGCAGTCTTTAATAAATATTTTTTTCTAACAGATGGAAAATGTGTAATAAACATTGTTTGGTTCATTTATAAAAAATTACCAGAAATTTTTAGTATTTGAATGTTGTAAATATTGAAAATTCATTTCAATACTGACTATATTCAATAACTATTCAAAATTATAAGTTAATTATATATAATTACAAATATTAAAATTCAGATTGAGAAAGTTTATTTCCAATTTAAATTGATATTTCGTAATTATTAATTAATCATTAAAACATCAGTTAATGCTGAAATGGATAAAAAAGAAAAATGCTTTTTTTCCAGAGATTTGAATTATTAGTTGTAATAAGATATAAATATTTGTGTTTCAAAATGAAATTGTTAATATTAATTTAAGAATTCTAGATGTAATGAGTTTTTCCTTTTGATCTCAAAGATACACTAATATGAAATATCATTCTATTATCATTTACAAATATTTTAGTAATACAAGAAGTGTACAGTACATTATGTTGTTTTATTAATAATAATAAAACAACATAATTCATTTTTATAATTTATTTGAATTTAGACAAAGACATTCTTTACTCTTTACACATTTACATATGGAAAAACTATTAGCTACTGCCAGAAATTATCTACATTAGATTATTTTTGTCTATTCATTTAAGTAAATGTTTTGATAATGTAAATTTTGGAATTATTTAAGAAAAGATTTTGTTTTATAAAATATTTTTTCTTGTTCACATTGCTTTTGATGATTAGAAGATAAAAATTTGATTCAATTCAATTATAAAAATTATGTATTAAAAATTTTATCCCATCTTTCAACCAGGATTGTTTTAGTCTCATCCAAGCCTGGATAAGAGATGGGACAATGCTATGATTATGCAAAATTGCAAAGTTTTTTGATCAGAAATGAACCCAGATCTCTTAGAATAATTCCAATTTCTATATTCCTATATTTTTTATTTTCTTATACTTGTAGGCTGAAAATGTTTGAAAAGTTAATTTAAAAAAACAAAACTGCATATTAAAGGTTTTTGTTGAGGTTTTGAAAGGAATTACCTTATGAATATCAGGAAAATTGATTATAATAATAATGGAATGTTTCAGTCTTAGAGAAATTGTGTTAGACACTAGTGAGAAATTACAGGACCCCATAAAGTTTTTATTTTCATTGGAATATTTGTATATATTTAATTTGTACATATATAATTTATTTTTGTATGAACTATTTGAAAATTGTTTGTTTTGCTGGGATATTTAGTAACCTACAAGTCACACTGCACTGTCTGCACATAGTTAGACCCACTACTGCAGAATTGTAATATAATTTCAGTTTATATATAAAACTGCTCCAATAAATTGAAAAGGAGATAATCAAATAAAAACAAAATCTTTAAATAATAGTAACAGAACTTTAAAGAAAACTCCAAACATTTTCGGCCTTCACCAACGCCTGCCTCAGATTTTTTTAATGAGGTATTCAAAATCTTAAAAATTGATTTTTCAAATATTATCATTCTAACATTCCATTTTGGAATTCTGTTTCAGAGTTTTCATTAAAGTTCTGTTACTGGTATTTGAAGGTTTTATTTTTATTTGAAATTATATTGTTTCATCTTTATGTATGGAGAAAATATATTATTAATTTAATTTTATATCTTGAAAAAGAGTTATGAAAAATTAATTCTATTTAAAAAATTTAACAAAAACTAATATTATGTTTTAAATAAAATTTATTTGTTAAATTTTTTAAAAATATATAAGCAATTATACAATTTATATATGCATAAAATATAGAACTTAGATTCTTCTTAAATTCTTAACTTTGTCCATAAATTTAGCAACTTTATTCTCTTCGATTGCTTTTGACCAATTATCTCCAATTTTAAAATGGGAGCCAACAATCATTCCACAGCAAGAATTATAAAGATGAATATTATTTATTGTTATTCCTGAACCCAATATCACAGGAATAGAAATGGAATGCAGAACATCTACAAAAAATTTACAGATGTAGAATGTCATTTTATATTAATTTAATTACAGAATAATTACAGTTGTAAATTAATCATGGAATTTCAAGACATATCCCAATGTTTTACATTATACATTATATTAGTTTGTTTCTAGCTTAAGAAAGACTTATGTAAACAAGATTCAAATCCATAATTTAGTAAATGATGAACAATGTCTTAAGAAATTCTATCAAAGAAATTCACTTCTAGGATTTCAAACAAATACAAAATTCGTGTGAATTCTGAAAAGCCAATCCTATCCAAATAAACCATTTTTGTTGAGGTTTATGGATTTTAAATAAATGTTCGTCTTGAACTGATCATGGATATAATCCTCGATAACAGTTTAAACTGAAAGCAGGTCTTGCAAATATAAATTAATTCTCGTCAGTAGTACACATACCATATGGTCTATAACTTAGCTATTTCAACATAATTTAGTCATCCAAATTATAAATTAGAAGTTCAGACTATTTACAAAAAATTAATTTAATTTTTGAGTCTATCAATTATGGATTTATCATGAATTCGAAAATAATTCATGGAAAATATATCATGGATTTGAAAATAATTTAGTCAATTGTTTAAAATGGACAAACAGGAAAGAAGAATAAGCTATAGAGTTCTGATTGAGATCATAAAGAATTAGGAAGATTATGTGGATTCAAATTGTAGTGTATTGTAATTTGTAATACTGTGAAGGAGCCCACATAATATTATGAATTATAATTAAATTGTAATTATTGTGCTGCCATTCAGCTGACCCTGAATCATATATAAATTTTCTACTCTGTATTTGGTAAGTAATTTACACATTCAGTAATAAGAGACATTGTTTATCTCTAAAGATCAGTCCTTAAAAACTTTCAATTCAACAGTAAATAATGTCGAAGTGATAGAAATAGTGATTCCTTGTGGAAATGGAAATTTTTAAGCAAGCAAATATAAAGATCAAATATTCAATTTACTACTATTTGTGTATTTGGTGACAAAACTTCCTGAAATACCATCATTAGTTTTAGACTTTGTATTTAATCAATAATACCATTAAAATATAAAGTTGTATATAAATATAGTTTTGTATACCTATTAAACAAATATGTCAAAAAACTTCATATTTACCAGATACTTCATTAGGACAAGGAGGGTCACCAGTTGTACTTCCAGTTAAAATGACTCCATCACTTAAAAAGAATTCAGCGGCTTTAGCAATATCTTTTGTATTTAAATCAGATGTGATTGCATGAGAGCTAATCATAAATAAAAGAATGTTTTAGTCTCAAAACTTGCTATTATTATTATAATATGACATATTATACCAGTGTTTTTTCTTTATATCGGTGAATACAAGTATATTATCGGCGCCAATAATTTTCCGTTGTCGAAGTAATGTACCCGCACATCCCTGAATAAATCCTTCATCTGCAAGGTGTCCAAATACAAATCCTTCGACACGAATAAACTGTAATCCTAAAATTGATCTTAAAGTTTATTCTGTTACATAATGGATACAAATATTAGTTTAAATATATTATCTATCTTTAAACAGTGTTAAATTTTATGTTATTTTCAAACAATTTAATAATAAGTAAGTGCATTTATCTACATTAAAACTAAATATCACACTTATGTAAAATAAATATATAAGTAATATATTTGGAGAATCTTTAACTTGAGATTACCAGCTGCTAATGCTACAGCCATAGCTGCTTCATTATTACCAGCTAATAACTGTACTCCACAAGGGATATCAGAAATAAGACATTTAATTTCTGAACATATTCTTGTCATAACTGAAGTGACTTCTGGTCCTGACCGATCTGGTAAAATGTACGGAATATCGTGCATATTTTCAATAAGTATGCCATCCTGAAAAATTTTTAAAAATTTAAATGTCATAATTATAATACATGTATAATAATAATGAATAGCCAAATAACATACAACAGAATTTTGAGAAGTATAATACGCTACTTAGAATAATATTTAGAGTAATTATAAGATAACTGTGCAATGAACATAACTGTTTTAACATTCTATTAAGTTCTATAATTATTTCAGTGTATATTTACTGTGCATTTTATATTGCATAAAAGATGTTTTACTGTTAAGCCAGATACTGACAAACATGAAATACAACGTAATTGTGGACGGAAACAGGAAATGAAAAAATGTTTCTGAAATTTCTGCCAAAACTGAATAGAAAATCGAGCGAACTAAATTTCTGTTTTATGCACAGCAGCAACGACACAGAAATATTTTTGTGACCAATTCTGTACAGAGCAATATAAAGTTTAAGTAAATGCTTGAGTTTGATTATTACCACTTACAATCCTTGAAATTCTATATTATAAAAGTTTACCAGGCTTCATTGCTCATACATTGCACTTGCGACTTGCATATCTTTCATAAAGATTTGATTTGAGTGATAAAATAGAAGCATTACAAGACGAGGATGAATTGCAAAATCAGTTGAGATAGTCTAAATTCATACAATGTGATTTTTAACAGAACGTCCACTCACACATAATATAATGTGAATGTTAGATGTTTTTTTTGATGATTTCTCACAAGATATTTGATACCAAAGTTTTAATAAGTTTCGTTTTGTGAATGATTTTTACTTTCCCTGCTGTTATATATAACAGAGAAAAAGTATGGCAAGCAGTCAAAAAACTGACCCCCCCCAAGATTTTCCCATTTTTGGACTTGGACCGTGAAATGTCAAGAAAGGCAAAAAAAATTTGGGGGATTTTTTCTGTATGTATGGAGTATGTAGAGGGCACAATTTTGTTCACTCTATTTGAAGCTTAATAACTCCTGTGCATTTTGTCAAAATTTCTGAAATTTTGCAGGGAAGTTTGTTTATTAGGGGGATTGATGCTATTAAATTTTGGTGATTAAAGGTCGAAGGGGTGGGGAGATAAGGAGGGTTGTGTGTCATATCTTGAGTAGGATCAGATTTAATGACAATTTTCCTCTTCAATAGCATTTACAATTTTTTTTTATAAAACCCATCCCTACCCTCAAAATTAAGCTTTTTGCCATTTTGTAATAGTTGAAAATATAAATAAATTTTAAAAATAAAAATCATAATGGCTCCACCAAAATTTCAAATGTTGCTGGGAAAGTTAAGCAACTCGTTTCAGGCTAGGCCAAACCAGGCATGGAAAAAAAACTTGATGCCTAAGGGGAAAAGAATTAAAATAAAAATAAGAAAAAGGTATAGATGAAGAACGAGGAACGATATTTCAATTTGAATTTCTGTAAAAATTTAGTATTCGATATTTTTTAATTTTCTATTTTGTTTCGTTTCATTCTGAGGAGACACCCGAAGTTATCTTTAAACTGAAATTTCGCAACATTTAATTTCTGAACACATACATATACACAGCACGGTTAACAACTTTCATGTACAAAAAAAAGAGGACGACATTATACGGACATCGTACAATACAGGACATTTTTATAGTCGTTATCGACTCCTTAGGGGGCGATGAAACTGCAAATATAAAAAGTGTATTTAAAAATATTACACAGTTTTTGCTCCAAAATAAATGAAGGAAGGTCCTTCCTACAATATATATACGCCAAATGTAGAAAGATGCCTTTTTTAGATATCAATGTATCTACCAACTCGAACTTCCATATGTTTGATACAAACGCCATCTTTTGATAATATTTGTCAACAGAAACTGAAGAAAATTTTGAGTTACAGTCTTAGTTTTATTTTTTCCATTCATTTTTTTTTCGATTACAAGTTATATTTATAGCTTAAAGCCGAAAAAATAAGCCATAGACTATACTCTTCCACGTTAGCGGATAGTTTTAATTCAAAGAAATAAACACGTGTTTTGACATTTATACTCACCACATTATATTTCTTGTAAATTTCTGCTTCTTTACAGGAAATATCAATTAATTGTTGAACCGTATATTTTGATTTTGGCGTACCTAAATAAGATAATTTCTTACAATTATAATTAATTAATTAAATTCCAACGTGAAATTCTCTAGTTACCGGGTAAAGCACGAACGTGAATCATTCCTATAACAAAATACGACGTATTTTTAAAAACCATTCTTAATTTTTCCATTTTAAAAATAATAATAATAATAAAAACCAAGTACTTGTAAATATCAGTCACGTGGCTTTATCGGACGGAAGTCGAAATGATATCGAGACCATTAGTTGGAATCGGTGGTGCAAAAATCCTGTAATCAGGTAATTTTTACTTGTAGTATTTTGTTATAAAAATATAAAATTAATTAAAGCATTAATGGCTTGTTTACGTATTATTTTTTAAAATTTATGCCATGTTTCAATTACAGTAATTAATTAATTAATTAAATTGATTTGCGAAACGCATCAGTTTATGTTAAACTCAATTGTAAAAATTGAACATTAACCAAAGCATGGGCAGAAAATTCATTGGAAATGATGCATTACAAATAAGGCAATAAAAATCATCAATTTCAGTTTAAACGTGTCATTTACACGTATGAAATTAATTTTGCTGATTCTATTACATTTTTAAATTAATATTGTGTTTTAATAGTATATTTCATTTTTCTGTTCTTTAATAATGCCTCAGGGAATTATTAAAATTTTCAGGAATTGGATTTTGTCCAAGGAAAGCTTTTCTATGTTTCCAAAACATAAAAAAAAATTTTTTTTCTTTAATTTTTCAATATTTTCTAATGAAGATAAGGTCTGGAATGCCATGTGAATCATTATAAATTTTATTTTAATTATGTTTTCCCTCATACAATTGTATTATATTTGTTTATTTTTATTGAAATTAACATATATTGAATGTGAACTAACTGGAATAGTCAGATAAATTCACTGGACAAATTTTCTACTCTGGCAAAAACCAAATTTTAATAACAACAAACATAAACAATTCAAATTAACATAGACAAATAGGTACTGTATGTACAGTAAGTATAGATAAATATGTAAAGCAAGAAATATTTTATATGCAAATATATAAAATAAGAGTATTTTCTTTTTTAGGTCACATTTTGTATTAATAAGGAATTGTTATTTACAAATGAATTTTATTACCAAGTTTATTGAAGTTTTTACTTGTTCTTTTTGAAGGAATACCTAAAAATCAATACTTAATATAGTATGCTAATGAGAATTAGTTAACTAAAGATATAGTAAGGAAATTTTAGCATGTGCCCTTGAATGTCTATAAATAGTCATCTAGAATCAATAATGGCTTTAGAGTTTCTTAAGCCATTTTCAAGCTCTTGTCTGACAATCACATTTACTATTATTATTATTATTTCAAAGTAAATTTAAATTTGAAATGAATTATATTTTATTCATAAAAAATATTTATTGGAAATTTTCATTTTGCAATTTAAATCACATTATTTGAATGCTTCTTTTAAAAGTTATTTTCTAAGATAATTTTAGATTTTTTTATTTTATAATATATTTCACTATATTAGTGTATTTTTACAATAGGTTTTCATTACTTAGCTTTGATGGTTTATATATAAAAATCTTTTTATTTTCTAAATTACATAAAACATTAAATTTCTTTAGTGAACCAATTCAAATAGGATTATAAAAATTCAACATCATTCTAGAAATAAAGAATATTTTAAGTCACTTTTATAATACATCTTCACATTTTTCTTTTTATATAATTTATATAGGGTTAGTTCAACTGTCATCTTTTCTGGTTACTTTCTCTTGTGTTTTAACTACATCTAAGTTCTTTTTGTATATTTGAGATCTGTTGATCATTATATATAATACTAGCTGTTACCTGCGACTTCGCCCACGGAGGTTTTGCAAGCAAACCCCATTTATGTTCAGTATTTCAACAACCATAGTAATTGTTATATAACACCTACTGCTGAGAATGATGAGAATTGCTGATAATCAAATGAACTATTTTCAATTTGATCAATTTTCTGGAACATTTACAATCATTCTATAATCAAACCAATATGCAATAACAAATTTGAATTTAAAATGGTTCGAACATTTGGTTAAAAAATCGAAATATATAAAAATATTTATAACTATGTCTGAAATGTTATCAATTTAATACACCTAAGTACTCAATGAAGACTAAAAGTAGTTGAAAACGAAAATCGCATCTAAAATAGTACAGTAGAAGTTCCGGTTAAGCCTTAATGCTTTCCCTCTCCCCGCAGGGGAATTTCAAAATATTCCTTCTTAGTGTGTGTTTTCATGACGTACCCTAACTGTATACCAAATTTCACCTCTTTAGATTCAGCAGTTTGCTCTGGGTGATGATGAATCAGTGACTCAGTCAGTCAGTCAGGGCATGTAATTTTATACATTTAGATAAATAATGCAATTTTAATGTAATAGTACAGTTGGAATTGCAAATATTATTTTTAAAGAGTTTATTATATGCCTGATGATTTTCAAATTATTATATTTCAGTTGTTCACAGTATATTTGTTTCACATGCTTAGCTCATGAACACATATAGTATTTGGTATGTTTAAAATTGGTTTAGAGTACTAGTATATTACTTGTATTAATAGTGGATTAGATTAGAATAGTGACTTCTATAATAATTAACTGTCATGTACAAATGGTACATGACAGTTAATTATTGTACTCTTTAACTTAAACTTTACCCATTATGTACTAACAGTGACTCACACTATAAAAGAAGTTTTTCTTTTTTACTTGCTCTTGGATTAAGTATTGCAATTGCACAGATCATTCATGCCAACAGCCATTAGAAAATAAACTGATATGTAGTAGATTTTAGAGGCAATAATTCTTGGTTTTCTAGTTATGAATCAAAATTTGAGTTTAAGAACAATCCACACCAAGTAGAGTATCAAAATCTTAGTATCAACTTGGCAAAAATAAAGGTCCAGCAAAGTCAACAAAAGAGATTTACATATTTTTGTTTTTGCCTTTTTGTTAGTTTTTCCTCATTATTGTTAAAGGTGTTCCAAAGAGTGATTATTTTACCTAAAAAAATAAATTCTTAATTTGAGAGAAATTAAATTTTCTTTTAAAAAAAAAAGTAGTTTAATTTTATGATTTTTTGCTTAAGCAAAAAATTCTTTTAAAATAAGAAAATAATTTCTTTCAGATAAATCACCTAAATTATGTAATAATATAATTATAATGTAATAATTATGTAATTGCAAGATCCACATAAGGTTAGTATTATTTGTATTCAAATATCATTTTTATCATCAAAAGAAGTGTTTATGCTCCAAAAAATGGCACATGATAGTAAAGATGTTTTACGTATGGCCACATACTAAATATAAGTTTCTAACATAAAATATATTCCAGATAAGTAGCATAGCAGAAAATGTATGGTGGTTTGGTTGCTGTTAGTTGGGGAAAGCTTGCTGATACAGTTTTGTGGCTTTCTACACATTTCAGTTTGTATGTTTGTATACAAAAATTATGTCTGCTTGTTCTTGATACTTTAAATAACTGACCATTGTTTAACAGTTTTAGTTTTAAATGTAAAAATTTTACTTTATTTATACTAACCAAGAAGGTAACACTATCAGACAATAGATGATAACAGACATTTATAAAAATTATAAAATAAGCAAATAAGTAGTAAATTATAATTTTAAATATTATTAATAAATAATGATAAGTACATAGTTTATTATTTTCTTAAATTTTATTAGGAGTTGATTAGGAAAAACATTGACTAAAAAAGACTTTTAGTAGGTGATTTCTAAGGAAAGATTTGAGAAACAATGATCTGTACACAGGAAAAAAGTAGATTTTAAACTGAGGGATCACTATATTGAGAATTTATTATAAAATCAGTTTTCAATTATATTATAAAATCAGTTTTCAATTATATCATAAAATCAAGTTTTACAACAATTTAACAAAAGTAATTATTTTAATTTTTATTTATTTATTGCACTTTCCAAAAGCTGGAACATTCACTAGTCTGCTTCAGATCTAACTGGAACATCTTATTTTTCAAAAAATGGAATGTCTCAAAATTTTTAATCTCAGAATAGAAATAAATTTCTATCATGATATAGGTTATTAGTTACTTAGGCTTAATGAAAATAAAATACGTTTTTAAATCCAGTATAAAGAATATTATATTTATATTTGCTTAACTTTAGAGTGTGTATTTTAACAAAAGTCTACCAGTGGCATGATGGATGCTAGTGTTGCCACCTTTTTAAAATCGCTGACCCGGACGGCAGGTGAGGTTTGTTCGAACAGAAGTTCCTGAATCATGCGTAATGTCATTTTGCAATGTGAAGAATAATGTGCAGTGCATGCCAGTTCTAAATCAGTTAGAGTTAGGGACTAGGGAGACTTGGGTAGGAGTAACGTAAGTAACCTAGATGACTTAGCTCTATTGGATATTGGAGATGTGTATGAATATGAATAGTACAAAAAAAAAAAAAAAGGTTGATAGGTTGCGCACAGTATTTCTGGATGAAATTAATAGTTCATCTGGACAGTGAGTTGATTCCCGGACTGTCCGGGTGAAAACCAGACAGGTGGTAACACTAATGGATGCAATACACTTATATATACAATGACCATAATTTTTTGGAGAAAATAAAGGATAAATCAGAAATTTTCATAATAATAAAAAAGCATGTTGCATTTCTTTATTTTACTAAAACTAAAAACTCTATAATATTTATCATATAATGCATATTCATAGCATTTTAAACACTCATATTACAGTAGAGTCTCAAAAACTCAGCACTCGATAACCTGGCAGCCCGGATAACTCGGCCACACCCTGGCAGGGCAAAACTTAAGAAAAAATTATTCTTGTTATTCTGAAAAAGTCAAATTAATCAGTCAGATTACATTGAGATTCATAAATATAAATTTGATTTCTCTCTCTCTCTCTCTCAATGAAAAGGTCATATTTGATCATACCTTGTGGTATGATCAAATATTGGTGTGGCGTACACTTACTTAATTGATGTGGGGTACATTTGTCTTGCAGACAAGTGGACAGTTTCTTGCACTTGGGCACCAAATATCTTTAAGTACTGTCTTTTATGCTAAGTTCTTATAAAAGTTATATAAAGTTATATGATTTTGTTACAATTGGTGTAAGATTTTTATTACAGTGGTACCTCAGGATACGAAATTAATCCATTCCGAAACTGAGATCGTATCATGAAAATGTCGTAAGGTGAATCAACTTTTCCCATACGATTACATGTTAAACCAAATAATTCGTTCCAACGCGAAAAACATACTCAAATTAAAGCCAAGTAATACATTAAAAAAATAACTGTAGTAAGGAAAACAAATGAAAAATGCGAATTAATGTAATGTCGTATGGTGAGTTTTTGTTCGTATCGTGGAGCAAAAATATGTTCGAATTTCATGTCGTATCCTGAAAATTTCGTATGCTGGGGCATTCGTATCCTGAGGTACCACTGTATATATATATATATTTTTTTTTTAAAATATTTACTTGATTCATATTAAATGAATTGATTATTATAAAATTCAAATGAATCATATTTTTTATTATTTTCAATACAAGATGGCTGATGATTTAGATGAGTTACTTGATGAAGTAGAATCTGAGTTATTGAAAGAAAACCATGTGAAGAATAAAGAATCCAGAAAAATTGCATTTTTGAGGTATGCTTTTATATTAAACTTTACTGAACATAAGCTAAAAGCTACATATCAAAAGACTTTATTATTGTACTATTTTTCAAAGTTCTGTAAAAAATTCAAATGATGTAATAGCATTGCATTAGTTAGAGTTAGTGGTTGTCAAATTTCAATATACAAGGATAATTTAGTAAAGACAAATTGCATTTTTTTTCAGAATAAGCAAAAATTTCATTTTATTGAGATGTACAGTACATTAAACATACAGATCCAAAATTATTACAGAAATTGCTTTTAACCCTAGGTATAATTAAATTAATTAAAATATCTTTAACCATGAGACAGACAATAGTAAAGGTTTATCACACCAATGATAATGGGCACAGACACTCAGGAATCAAAGTAAAAACATTTAATAAAACAAAAAGGGGGTGTACAATAAGATGATTACATAAGTATGGAAACCGAAAAACCCAAAGAAACCTCATCAGTTGGTATTAACTAAAAGTTTTTAGTATACTTAAAAATTATACAAAGTGAAAAAAATAAACTTAAAATTAAACTTAAAACTATGTCTAAAGCTATACAACATAAAGATAAAAATGTTGCCATGACTGCATGAACAGTAAGCATTATCAATGTAGACAGGAGTAATAATTCTTAATGCTTACTCCTGTCATACAGTCATGGCAATGTTTTCATCTTTATATTGTATAGCTTTAGACATAGTTTTAAGTTTAATTTTAAGTTTATTTTTTTCACTTTGTATAATTTTTAAGTATACTAAAAACTTTTAGTTAATACCAACTGATGAGGTTTCTTTGGGTTTTTCGGTTTCCATACTTATGTAATCATCTTATTGTACACCCCCTTTTTGTTTTATTAAATGTTTTTACTTTGATTCCTGAGTGTCTGTGCCCATTATCATTGGTGTGATAAGCCCTTACCATTATCTGTCTCATGGTTATAGATATTTTAATTAATTTAATACAGATCTAAATAATATGTCATTTTTTCATGTAGTTTTCATCCTCTACACTGCACTTTTTGCATCTTTTGAATAGTTTCTATATTCTGGTAGAATAATATTTTTTTATTGTTGTTGAAGCCAAAAATGCACAGCCTCTTCACCTGATCATTGCTATGAAATCTGTCTTTGCAATGCTCCTTTAAAATTGCCAAACACATGGTGGTCAGATTATGTAAGGTTGGGACTATAAGTTGTTCCTGCCCATCTAAGGGGATATGGAATAGCATAAATTTTATACATTTGAAACAGCTCCTTGAAAATAAATAACTTTTATTCTGATCACTTTTTTAATTGGATGCATATTTTTACATTTTAAATGGACCATTTGCTAGCATATGTTATCAATTTCTTTTTTCTGTAATGTATTGAGGTCAATATTTAGTTTTAAAAGAGAGCGTAGAAAATTATTTTGTAACCCCTGCAGTTTATGTAGAATGTGATATATACCTAGGAGATTTGAGTATTTTAGACTTTAATATATTTTAATTCTTTAAATTCAGATAGTTACATCTTAAATGTGTCTTTGATTAATACCCCAATTCATTTGTAAGAAATATAAAGTAAGTATTAATTCAATTGCCTTTTTGTAAAATATAAAGTAAGCTTTAAAGTAAATAAATATTCATTTATCTTATTATTATGAATCAAGAAACAAAACTGTTTTTTAAGGACACAGAAAATTATTTATTTTGAAACATTTTTGGCTGAAAACAATATATTTTTATATTTTAGATTTGATTTATTGTGTGCTGAGGATGGCCTAAAGTGAGGCCAAAAGCATTTGAAATAAATAATCTTTTGTATCTTTAAGAAAGCAGTTTTGTTTCTAAATTTTGCATACTTTCTTATCTTGTTATTTTAACACTGATTTACAAAAATATTTTGAAGAAGATAAATAATTAGGTATTTTTGAAAATTAGTACAGAATCTTCTAAAAGTACAGGAGATGAGCTTGAAGCAGCAATTGATGATATTTGCAACATTCCAGAACCTTTGGTATGGTTATAGTAAATATATAATTTTTTATGATTTATTGAAAATATTTATATTTATTTCATGACTTATAAATTAGTATCTTTTTAAATTCAGAATCATGTTTTAATTTTTAATTGTTACATTAATATTAATATATTGTACAGTGGAACTTTGCTTAATGAGCATAATTCATTCCAGAATGTTACTCATAAAGAGAAACACTGGTTAAGCGAAACAATTTTTCCCATATAAATTAATGTAAAATATGATTCCATGCCAAAAAAAATACTCGAATATTTTATATTTAACATTT